TAATCACGATCAAATGAGGGTTATAAACCAGTGTGAGGAATTCGAATGATGATTTACAGTTGATGGTTAAGGTTAGAACTGACATCAGTTATAAGAGATGAGTGCATTTCGCGCCAAAATCCAAGATCTATTATGTTATACCTAATTGGTTCATTCATAAATTATAGTCTCATCGAAAGTATTTCTAAAATTGAGAAAACAACCTAAACACACAAACACATACACATACAACTATACATTATTAAATAACAACTTACTGAGTTGGTTTTCTACTTGCTGTGATTAATCGAGGTAATGGTTGTCCATAATCACGTGATAAATATGTTTCACTTCCTGCAGCAACATAGAAATGATGATCTTTCACCATTTCAGGTGATTTAACTAATTCACCGCCAAGTGTATATAATCTGATTATTATTATTATTAAGAATATTATTATTATTAAGAATATTATTATTATTATTATTATTATTATTATTATTATTATTATTATTAGTGAAGTGAATTTATTGATTTAAACAACAACAAAACGAGTAATAAAAAGGAAGATCAAATTGATTACATTTCAGATAATAAATGTATAGTAATCAATTGAGAGATGATGTTACTATCCTACAAAACCTTATTTATTTGAATACCATATTTCTGATCATAGTAAAGGATCTTTTTTTTAGAAGAAATGGGGGGGGGGAGGGAAATCGAATTAAAATTCCTGTTGTATAGGCATTTAATTTGTAAATATTTGGGAAATATGTATAAATTGTTTTTAAACAGTAATCATCTATTATTCATTCATTCATTACTTACTTGCTCAGTTACGCCTGTTACTTCTCATGGAGGAGCATAGGCCACCCACTAGCACTCATCATCCAACCCTGTTCTGGGCAATCCTTTCTACCTCTTTCCAATTGTTATTCATCCTTTTCATATCTGCTTCAATTTTCCGACGTAATGTTTCTTTTGGACTTCCTCTTTTTCGCTTCCCTTCAGAATTCCGAGTTAGGGCTTGCCTCGTGATGCAATTTGGTGGTTTCCGTAATGTATGTCCTAACCACTTCTAAAGTCTCTTCTTGATTTCCTCTTCAGTTGGAAGCTGGTTTATTCTCTACCACAGTAGGCTGTCACTGATGGTATCCGGCCAATGGATGTTGAGTATTTTGCATGGACAACTATTTATAAATACTTTTACGTTCTTGATGACGGTTGTAGTAGTTCTCCTTGTTTAAACTCCGTACAGTAGAACTGACTGCCTTGACGTTCGTATTGAAGATTCTCACTTTGATATTGGTTGACAGACAGTTGTTTTGAGTTCCATATGTTCTTCAATTGTAGGGATGCGGCCCTTGCTTTACCAACCCTATTATCCTAACTATTGTTCATATTCATGCAGAATGTGTTTACGATCGATTTCAGTTCTATGATATCTTTTTTATTTGCCAAATATATTTAATCTATGAATTCTATAGTAATCACGTCTTGTTTCTCCAAATGACAGATAAGAAACAGGAAAATATACGAACTGCCATCGTGACATTTCATGAGTTTTTGAGTAATTTAATTCAAGATAGATTGTAAACATTTCATGTAAGTGCATAAGTATACGCTGTTACCCGATTCAGTTAATGAAGTAGAACAAATTTAAAATAAGAGAATGAATGGTGATAAATGAAAATTAGAAAAAAAGAGAACGATAACTTAAACGTTTGAATAAGTAGTTTCAGGTTTGAATGTTCAATTTATGTTTTATATGTATGTCGTGTATAGAATTAAAATCAGAAATCACCAAACTGCATTACGAGGCAAGTGCCAAATTGGAATCGTGAAGGGAAGCGGAAAAGAGGAAGTCTAAAGAACACATTATGTCGGGAAATAGAAGCAGATATGAAAAGGATGAATTGCAACTGGAAAGAGGTGGAAAGGATTGTCCACGACAGGGTTGAATAGGGAGTGCTGGTTGGTGGCCTATGTTTCTCCATGAGGAATAACAGGCATAAGTGAGTAATTAATGGAATTAAAATAAATAAACTAGAGTTTTAGTGATCAGTTTTTAGTGGTAAGGATGTAGTGAGCAGCCGAGGTCATCATATACACAAACTAGTTTAATTAGATCTTTTAGAGTGAAATATTTAGATTTTTGCTAATAGTGTAATTCAAGATGTTCATTGAACCCATTTTAGGAGTAACCATCTATTAATATTAAGGCTCGAATCCAGTACTTTGGTTTCATACGTCAGAAATTGTGGTATTTTCAAGATTTTGATAATAAATAAAATGGAACTATGAATTTAAAGAAAGTTGATTGGTGTCTAGTACTTAGATCCATGTTAATACTCACATCAGAACTCGTACCCAGTATTTTTCGTTTCAAACACCATAAACTTTATCCAACAAGCTGTGATATCCAGATAGTCATTAGTTAAAATGACAATAACTAAATTTATTACTTAATTTATATAGATTTTAAACCTTTTCATAAATATCTTTTAGAATATATCCATCCTAATCTAATTACTTCGATATTATTATTGATTTACAAATTCTTAAAGTAAATTAAATACTCCATTAGTTCGAATCCCGTGAGGTGGGGTCATGGATGCGCACTGCTGAGGAGTTCTACAATAGGACGAAACGGCCATCCAATGCTCTCAGGTTTTTCATGGTAGTCTAGATTCAACTATTGAGAATTTATCCCCTTGACAAATGCTAATAACTTCGATATTGACATAAGTTAACTATAAAATCAATAAACAATCGATAATGTTAAGGGGGTATAGTATTACACATTATGATGATTAATTTATCATTCAGTTATATGTATTTGTTGTAATGATAATATAAATAAATCAAATATATGAAATGTTTCTAAATCAATAGTAGTATATTCATTCTTTCAAAGAATAAGAAGAAGTAATTTTTCTCATTCTAAATTTATTTTAACGAATTGTTTAGGTATGTTTATTGCATAGATACAAGTTTTTATAATAAGTTCAATATGTATTCATTATAAAATATAATGGTGTTTAATCAATCAATAAGATACAAGGGTACAAGGGGGGTTGAGGCTAATTATGTAATGAAAAGAATAAGATATAATACGAAAATTAATATTGCCCAGGTACGGTCGAGAGTGGAGAGAGTCCACTCTCCCTCTCGAAATGCTCTCACATGGCCACGTGCACACCAACCACTGACAGGGAAGTCCTACTCACTGCCTTCTCGTGGTGGGGGTGTTGTTTACGAAATTGAGAGGACGAAAAGTGAATATCTGGCACTCTAACCGGGTTGGTGGACATGGAGAGTCCGCCTAGGGGAGTTGGAAAACCCTGATTCTAAAGCAGTAGTGTCCATGGGCTCCAGGAACCTGAAGGAACAAATAGCGTATGGACCAATCGTTGGTCACGGGCTACCATGGGACTGCATCTCCTTACGATGCTCTACTGCCTTGTGGGTCAAACCTTTAGGTCGAGGACTCCGGGTGTAGTCCCCTAAGAAAATCATCCGCTTCGGATTGGACACTTGGGCAAATCAAGTGACTTGTGTGGCGCATATGTATTCGTTGCCCCTTTTGTACTAATATTTATGTGTTCAAATAAATAAATAAATAAATGGATAGAACATTCAATGAGATTAATATTTTTGAATATTCACAAGATGATTATATATGAAGAAGGAATTTATTGAAGTGTTACACAGTTTTTGCTGACAATGTTTTTCCAGTCATAGAACATACAGTTCTATTGCTGATTGAGTTATTGATTCCATTCAGAACTGAAACAACAAATCAGTACTCTCTGGTTTCTTGACTAAATATCAATCTGTGATGTAAACTATCCTAAAAAATTGAACAACCTTCATGATATAATGGGATGAATAGTGAGAAAGTATAACTTTTTTGAGGATACCCTATAAAGGATTATTATTTATACTTATATTATACAAATAGTCTGGTCGGCTTGTACATAAACCAGGTATGTTTGAAATAAATGATTCATGTAGTTGGCATTGGTATTCTGGGCTCAATCGGTGAGGCTAAGCAGGAAAAAAAACCAATAAGAAAGCTAGGCTGCTTATACCGGTCAATACGTCATTGGTTTGGTACAGTGCTGAGATTGTGTAAGTCAGTTCCTGATTGGCAAGTAAATCACGTGATAAATTAACCGGCTACAAGTCACAGAACTCATCATTTTGACTTTGTATCGCATATGATCAAGTTATGTACACACTATAGCTCCCTAATTGTGTTGCTATGTGATCAGACATTTCAAACGTAGTACTGCAAGGGTTTTGGGTCATGAATGAATTAGGTATAAAAGAGAACTGATCCGTTTTATATCTTCATCTTCTAACTGTCTATCGAACAAGAAAGATCTCGAGAACCAATTAAAGATGAGGTCTTGGTTGTTGTTCGTTTGTCGATGTGTCAGTTGGTAAGTAGATCACCGGCCCTACTGGTAGCATAGGGGAACTGTTCGATAATCAAACTATGCAGGGAGGTCTAAGTTATTGCTTGGGGATAGTGGAGAGGAAAGTACGGTTGTCCAAGTTTCCCTCTATTTGGCACTCGTCAGTAAGGTTCACCTATAATCTTGAAGGAAATGATGCTCCTTGGTGAATTCTATCTTTTGTCATAGTTAGAGACATTATCACTGAGCTACTGCGGATGCGACTGACCTTCTGTAGTAGACAGACCAAACAAATGGTTCCCTGTTATTACAGCTCAACCACATGAGACTCAGTACAACCCAGTTAAGAAAGTCTGTTATTTTCCTGCATACTACTTCACGAAATTCTCATCTTAATCAATGGATTAAAAAGAAGAAATTTGATTAAAATAAATTCCTTTTCATTATGTCTTTGGACTAATTTAATTTTAATAATAGAGATCATAGAAGAAATAAAAAAGATGATTGATCATTGAAAACTGGTAATATAGGTGCAAACAGGGATATTTCTAATGATTAAAGCATTCGGTATACAGTCAACATTTATCATTCGTTTAAAGTTTTAATGCCCATACTTCAATTAGTGAAGATTGAATAGTATGCTTAGTCCATACATCTAAAGTATAACACAAAATCGAATGAATGAATGAATGTTCAATTGGTACATTAGTTGTGTTATATGACAGATATTAAAATCGAAATTGGTAAACAAAGAAGGAACGAATTGAGCTCAATTCGTTCCTTCTTTGTTTACCAAATGGCAAAATGGGAATTTTCACTATATAATCAAATTAATTTATATCTATTGCTATAGTTACTAATTAAATTTAAAAGTCCTGCGACTATCGAGTAAGTAACGCAGTTGTTAGGAAACGGGTACTCGGTAAGGATGGCAAATCAATTGATGAAGTAGTGAAACTTCATCAGTTGAGATGGCTGGGACACGTGTTACGTATGCCCAACCACCGACTGCCTCGACGTGCGATGTTCAGTGGTATAGGAGTAGGTTGGAAGAAAGCTAGAGGCGGCCAGACCAAAACATGAAGTCACCGACAAGTGGGCTGAGACATGTTGGTAGGTGTAGACTACCTGATTGGGGACCGTGAGATGATAGTAACCGATGGTTAGAGACCCTGAATGACATGGCTCAAAATCGTTTGCAATGGCGCAGGTGCATACACTCTTTGTGTTCTCCCAAATTTTGATCTCCTTATTCCTCCTTGTCTCTTCTTTTTCTGTTCCCAAATTTATTTCACTGTATTATACTCTCTAAATAACATCTCCAAACCTTAATGTTTACGATTACTGCTTATACTCTTACTATCTCTACCACTACGGGATTTGAATCGACCACTGCATCTGTGTGCTGATGTGTTGTGGCAACTCGAACTGATGTACGTACGTACGAAGTTCTACGTTGTTACTGACTGACTGACAATCATTTTTAATTTATTCCTTTTAGAAAAATTATTTCAATGTATTACAGCACGATTATCATGTATTTAATACTAGTGCTTTAAAAATGTCTTGTCAGGCCAGTGAAATGCCACTGAGCCCTAGCCAAATAATCCGCCAGTTGGGTCACCGAATATCGAATAGATCATTAATCCTCGTCAAAGTCAAGGACAATCAACGTGCATCAGTTAATCATATGCCATGGACTGGCATATGCGATGGTGGTCTCACTATCTTCTCTGTACTCATTCTTACTAATATATTTCCGTAGTAACGTCCTTTGTGTTATACGTTCTTCAAAGTAGCCATAGTACTTTGATACATCAAAGGGGTAATCCACGTTAGATGCTGACTGTGAAGCGTGACTTCGAAATTAGCTGGTTTATCACACCATTCCCGTCTAACTCGAGTAGGCCCCCAGTCATTTGACAATTTATTTATGCGCCACACAAATCTCATTTGATAAGTGTGAGAGCTGTGATACTGCTCGGGTGCCCAAACCGAAGCAAGTGTTTTTATTAGGGGACCACACTCGGAGTCTTCGACCTGAAGGTCTGACCCACAATGCAGTGGAGCATCGTAAGGAGATGCGGTCCCATGGTAGCCCGTGACCAACGATTGGTCCATACGCTATTTGTTCCTTCAGGTTCCTGGAGCCCATGGACACTACTGCTTTAGAATCAGGGTTTTCCAACTCCCCTAGGCGGACTCTCCATGTCCACCAACCCGGTTAGAGTGCCAGATATTCACTTTTCGTCCTCTCAATTTCGTAAACAACACCCCCACCACGAGAAGGCAGTGAGTAGGACTTCCCTGTCAGTGGTTGGTGTGCACGTGGCCATGTGAGAGCATTTCGAGAGGGAGAGTGGACTCTCTCCACTCTCGGCCGTACTAGGGCATTTAGGGGCAGTCATTCGACAAAGATCATCTACTTTAGTGATCTAGAGTCTCATTTATTTAAATTCAAACTTATAATTTGATATGGTTATTAAGAATTTGTGCTAAATTAAATTTCTATATTTGTCAACACTTACTAGACACTATGTACCTACATATAATAGAGGAGATTTTGATTACTTATGATTGTATTTTATGCCTGGAGATTTACAGATATTTATCAATTTTACCTGATCTTCATAGTTTATATTAGTTATATTGTAACATAAGTTATGAAGTATAGGTTGATACCGCTAGTACGTGTATGCAACAAGAATGGAATGCATATATATGTATATATGCAATTCATCCTGTTATATGTCATTAGGTTGCAATGTGGTCTTTAATTTAAATGATTTCACATTGAATCTCCCTTTGATTTAATGTCGGTTAGTTAGAGACAATCTATAGGAAGCTTAACAACTAGATTTTCTCCCAGTCTAAACTTGATATAATGAGATAAAAAGATGATGTTATTAAGATAAATGTTTTTTTGTACCAAGTCATTTGTTTTCCTTTTAAGGCAGTGTGACTTGAAGAGGTCAATCATTTTTGTATTGATTATGTGTAAACTATATTCGATATGATGTGTAAACTATTGGTCAGTGTAACATATTATATCCCCTGTATCGATTCATATGATATAGATTTAGTGAGTGTGTTTTACAGTAAATCTATGTATGTTCCTCTACCTATGGTATTATGTGTAAAAATTAGTACAATAATAACTGTATTTTGGTCTAATGTAGATATGATTTTCGGATGAATTTTTGGGGGACGAGTAAATCTTCATTGCCCTAATCTCTCATGTTTCTATTAAGTGTCGTTAGGATTGCACTGGTTTCTGTTTTAAAGTATAAGCAATGATACAGAGGAATTGAAGAGGCTCCCGATCGTCAATCATAAGCAGTAAGACTGGCTACTCGACAGAGTCGATGCATACGTAGCCGTGACAACACCGCCAGATATAGAAAAGGCGACACTCTACATTAATAAACATGTTCGAGCTCTTCTCAAATGGTGTGATGACAATGTTTCTAGTCGCAGTGTAATGAACGAGAGTATAAGTGGGGACAACCAATGTATTTCTAGTGTAAAATTACACAACATCTTGGTAAAATGTGAGAATCATGCACTGAATACTTCGTTCGCAAATTTCATTCACTTGCTCTTTACATCAATATGATTCTTTCAAGTCACAATTCCGTTTCTGTTTTCTTCAAGTCGACTATCATAGTCTTTTGCTGTCAGGGTTTTCACTCCAAATTGGTGTTACATACTGTTAATGTCTGTTAAAATAAGTAGCATACATTGCAACAGCAATGGCTATGATGACATTAAAACATTGGGATTTCGATGGTTTACTGAAGACCTCGAATAAGTATTGGTTCTGGCTGAAGAGACTACATTATTGAACTAGCCATCTTAAGACTTTACGTTAATAAATAGACGTCAACAGTTTTTCACCTATGATACATGTTAGAAGTAATCAAGAAAGTAAATAAGGTTTTTAAAAGACTATATTAGAGCGTATCTTTATTCCGCTAAGATGTTAACCAATGCGTAGTAGGTTCTGCATTTGCCTGACCTACCAGATAAAGCGGAGTCGGGTAGTTCATTTAGCCAATAAACAATAAGTCTAAGCTATCAGTAAATGAATCTATTATAACTAGAACCATGAATGCTCTTAGCCTAAATATTGAAGCTAAAATGTATTCAGAAGTCAATAGGCAATGAAACAGAGGCGAATATAACAAATGTAAAACAAGGCAACTAGGGAAAATAGACCCAATGCTTGTGAAATAATCAAAATCCTAAATTCTATACAAACTTAACGTTCATAATGTTTTGTCAGACGACAACAAAAGCTCCACAATCATACCATTTAACTCAGGGAACTTAATAACACCAAAGGAGAACAATACAAGTAAGCGAACATTATTGCTTTCAATCAGATCCTCATCAAAATTTACCCCAATATACAATACAATTTATATGCACATACGAAAATCTTAAACTAATCAAGGCAGTTAATGAGTCTGTGATAAACACTTGAATTCATGTTTCACTAAAGTAAAAAGTAGGTGAACTAGCTGGAAAATTGATTGTGAAATAACAGTGATCAGATTACGTAATGAGAAGTGTTCAAATAATTGGACAGTGAAATGTATATTTGAGAAGTGGGTTGTGGAGAAGAATAAACGAATGAAGAGAATGGTGTAAAGTAATCAATAAAATCATTGATTGATTAGGGGCTAGTTTGGTCAATCAACAGACAAGTGTGTCACAAATTTCTTATGAATACAAACAAGTAAGAAGTGGCTAAAGGGGACTAGTAGGAATAGGGCAAATCACTCTGAATGACCTATTTCTATCTACCACATGAACGATATGAATCAAGTATGATAGGACAGAGTTGTGTATTGTTTTGACGATACTATTCCCTAATGACAAATGGAGGTGTTCATTAACTCGTTGTCTCAGTTATCTGCTTGTACATGTAATATGGCTTTCTCCATAGGAGCAGTTCATGTATGTCGCCAAATCACGTAACTCATCCTTCAGTTAACGAATCAACATAGGTAGGTTGGTTGAAGGACGATAGACAGAGGTTAGCCTCATTTGACGTTCCCTTCAGGCGATATCTCCGTTGAAGAGAGGTTTCTTAATGACCATCTATGTCACTATTTTCCTGTTCATTCTACAAGAATGTTTCTTCAGAGGAATTTGTGGATAACCGATTTCAATCAATATACCATAAATGAGTCTTAGTTCGTTGTTTATAGTGTCGTCTGAGCATATCTTCCTAACTCTATTTGCAATACATCAAAGTAGGTTCCTCTAATAATGAATGAATTCAGGACTGAAGGAATGTGTATATTTGTTTGATGAAGAACTTTCCCTATACACACAGTTCTACTGATCGAACCACTTTCTTTCCTGTTTAACAAGACTTTTGTGAAATGTGATTAGTGATTGTATATTGTTGAATTACTTTCAGAGTTCCTCTTTTTCACTGTTCTGATTAATCGTTGTGAAAGTATTATCAATGTAATGGCCATAAATGTGTATTTATCCGTTTTGAGGTTTATTTATGTAATCTGTTTCATTAAGATGTTGAGGATCTATATGTTGTTATAATTCACAATATGGGAAATTTTTTTTTATAGAAAAAACCAACACCAAAATAGTAAAAGTTCGATGAACAAAAGTAAATTAGTGACT